TAATTTAGACTTTATCAAGTGAAAGTAAGAAATTCCCTAATATATAGATACTGGTTCATCATTCACTTTCCAAATCAAATTAATTTTCCAAAAAAAGTAATTTATCAAGAATTCTAGTAGGAGTTCATTGTGATGTAAGGCCATAGGTTTAGAAGTGAAATGGAAAAATGTTGCCAGGAGAGATTAAATTTGAGGCTATACGGTTGAATAAACTGACTGTTAATTAAGTCAATTAACTAAGAGATAATAGAATCACTTCTTGGCTGATATAATTTGGTCATTGAAGCAACCAAAGGAACACTACTGCAAGTTAAGTAGTCAAAGAAATTCAAAGAGCAAAAATCTCCTGAGGGCCACAAAACTTTCCCTTTTGAATGTCTTAAATCTTCCACGCTGGCTCAGGAGAAAATAAACTGAAAAGTCCTGAAACATGTACACTGGCAACAGACTGAAATCAGCTAAGATTTTATACTGCAATTTTTAAAATTATGTAAGAGCTCATACTGTAAGAGAAAGTAACATATCAGTGAAATGTCTAAAATAAGAACACTCATGACTTGATTATTTAACAACAGGAGATAGAAGAGAATAAAATGGTAAGTGAAACTATCAAGTGAGCCGGCATAATGTTCCATGGGTCCTCCTTAGCTTTTCTTTAGGGTGGTTGTCATGATACTGAGTGGACTGGGGGAGCTTGGTATTGATTAGAGAATATGAGATCCCCAGCTGAGATTCACAAGCACATGGAAAGATTCTCTGGATAGGCCTATCCCATATATAAATTAAGCAGTTAATATTAAAAAATGTTTACAATTAAAATAGAATATATGTAATAATATTTTCCATGTCTTGCATGACACTTTAAGAAATGTCTACACAATTTTTCAAGGTATTCTCTACAACTGCATTGTAAGTAAATAGCTGAGGCAAATTCCACCAACTCTAATCTATGAATAAAAGGATTAATTCTCTAAAGGCAGACCAAGAGACCATCATCTATGCAGGTGTATCACGTGGACACCTAGAGTCACCCCTTGTTCCCTCCCTCACACACTCTCACATTAATTCAGCCTTAGGGTCCTATTGCTATTATCTTCTAAACATATCTCAAATCTTACCAGCACTGACTCTCCTCCTAGACATGCATCAATATCAGGCTTTCAGGGTCTTTGCAATTCCTCCACTTCTAATCCATATTCCACAGTGCTACCCAAGTAATGTTTAAATGCTGAGACTGCTCCTGTCATGTCTTTGCCTAAAATCTTCAAGTGGCACCCTACCATCTTCAGGATCAAGTTCAAATTCCCAAGCATGGTATACAAGATACCTTAACATCCGGAATCTCTGTATGTAATTTCTTACTTTATCCCAAATGTGCTATGGTCCCTCATCTCCCTTCCTTCTAAAACTGTCACCTAGGCAACATTTTATGTGACTGGCATACATGAATTAACAGAACAAAGATCTTGTCTTTGTAGTCCTTACATTCTTATGGTAGGCAGGTAGATGGTTGATAGATCAGATAAATAAAATTAATTGACAAGTAGGCAGATGATTAATACAAGCATACAGATGACTGAAATAGGTAAGTAGGTAGATGATAGATGGATGACAGATTATTGACAGAGATGTTTGATAGACATGGAGGTGGGCTGATAAATGATAACCGATAAAGTACTGGGGTGATGGCAGCGATGGATACAAGTGAATAGAATGGGGAAGCATAGGGATCGTGTGTGAGGTGCTATGAAATCGTGTCAGAAAATGCCTCACAAAAGCAATCGCACCTGAGCATAAACCTAATGAAGGTAAGGAAACCACCAGTGTGTATGTATGAGCAAAGAACATTCGGGGCAGAAGAACAGACAGTGTAGTAAGTAGCCCTGCAGCAGTTAGGTGTCTGTGTGCTCAAAACCACCCAGGACACCAGTGAGGTTGCAGAGCAGCGATAACGTGAAAGATCATGAAGAAACAGAAGTGAAACCACGCACACAGTGGTCATTATGGGGACATGATTCTTACTCTGAGAGCAATGGGAGCTGCTGGGGTGCTTGAGCAAGTGTGTCACCAGCTGTGTATTTAGAAGCTAAGCATGAGGGGAACAGCCCCCTCAGAGACCACACTGCACAGGAACATTTACCACATTATAACCTTCAGTCCACTGGTCTGGTTCCCCCCCGACTGTGAACTCCTAAGGAGGAGGAGGCTGTGGCTTATTCTCTGTTGCTCTCTAGCACTAAGCAGATCAGGAAGGACACTTTCTCACATTCCTTGGGTGTGGGGTGCTGAGACAGAGCTCCAGGACCACACTGGCCATTGAAGGGGTCATGCTAGACTTTGACCTTAGGCCTAGAGCCCCAAATTCCCAATGACTGGGCAGAAAGAGCAACTAAGGGAGAAAATCAGAACTATATAGAGCATATGAGAAACAGGTGCCTTGAGAGACACCTATAGGAGACAAAGCTGCAAGGTCAGGAGCCTGTCAAAATCTGCAGGCCAGAGATGGGGGGTCGGGGGTAGTACCAAATGCTCACATCCAAGTCTGGAGCTCTAACTATAAAGGACTAACACTAGCTGCAGCTGCAGCTTTTGCTCACAGCTCCTTCCGCTCACAGTGATGTGGGTGAGGAGTTAAGAGTAATTCTAAAGTATGAAGGGCTTGAGGTGGGCTGAACCCAGATGGGTCTACTTCCTTTGCAGAGGACTACTGGTATGCTGGCCATGTTTCTACTGACTAGTGAAAATAACTCCTGAAGTTGCCCTTGATTCTCCTACGTAGCCCCACCGTCCCCCAGTGCGCTGCTCTCCAAATCCCCTCTTCCATCCTCAAAGATGGAAGTAATGTGCAAAGGTGAGCTGACAGGTACCTAAGCTAAGGAATTACCATCCCTGCTGTGCTAACCTCTCTCAGACTTTTACTATCTGACTACCCATCCTATCTACCCCCTAAGTAACTAGGAGGACCTGCAAAACACAGTGTACCTTATCAAAGGCTGTGTAAACATTGGGGTCTATCAGCCCCACCCTCCATCATCAGGAAAGACAGACTTGTTGGGATTTAATTTCCTTGTAAGTTATAAAAATTAACACAGAGTGTTAAAAGATTAGAAATGGTCATGAGATAAAATCTTTGTGGCAAGAAGTCATCTGACAGGGAAAGCAAAGCTAGATTTGTGACCTCTTTTGATGAGATACTCACTGCAGTAGCATTAGTAATCACATTCCTGACTAAAATTCCAAGTTCTTACCTATAGGATGGAAATAAGAGCAGGGGACTAGCTTCTGTGAGAACTTAAGATACTAAAGATTGTAAACACATAATCATATGTGGTCTACAGATGTGGCTACTGTATGCAAGACTATGTGTGTGTCTACGTAGGTGTCTACGTGTGTATGTGCATGTATAAAACTAGCAGCAGTATGAAGACAAAGGAGTTAATGAAAAAATTTCACACTAAGCGGACAGCGTACAAGTGCATACCTCTACTCTCCTAATTATCCGAAAGGGCCTCTGAGATGCTGGAATGGCTAAGATGGGTTCTTGATGTGTGCTGGGTGTTAAATACCTCTGAGAAACAGACGGTGGATTTGGGAACAAACTCCTGCCTTCATTCTATCCCCAGGTACTGACCAGGCATCAAGGCCTCTTGGGAGGGACTGAGAAAGCAGGGAGAGCAGCAGTGAGGCTGCGCTTGGCATTTCCACGGTTTTCAGCCCATTCTTCTTGCTTGTATGAATGGCTACTCCTGACACCATCAAAGCTGTCTTACCCCTTCATCCAGGAAGTCAGTCAGACAGCTCCTTAGAGGAAATGGTGGTGGTTTATCTTACAAGCCCCAATTAAGACAAAGATTCAAGAAACATAGACCCACCCAACCCTGGTACTAACTAGCTGAGCTACCACATTTGCCACAGCCTCAGCTTCCTCTTCTGTAACATGGAATAGTAATAAGCATTTCACCTGTTATAAAAACTAAGAGAGATGATGTCTGTGAAACTACCTTGCCAATTCGGATCAGTATCTTCAGCAATCCATATGTGCCCTACACTGGTGTCCAGCAACAACATTTACCGCGAATTTTCTTTTAAAAATTATACATAGGAAAGTGGGTAAAAGCAACTTTAATCTAGATATTGGGGGGGAAAAATGTCTCAAAAATAATTAAAATATTAATTGTAAATTTTCTGATGCTAAATAAATGAAATAAATTCAAGCCAGCCAAGTTCAGGTGATGATTATAATGAAATGAAATTACCAAGATAGCACTCTTATAGACAGCACCACAAAACACAAAGGAAACAAAAGAGAACGTACACACAAAAAATTCTTTTTTAGTCAGAGGTATTCACTTTTACATGTCATCTTACAATGTAGGTATTTACGAGGTTCTTATCCCAACTCATGCACAAGCCCCTGTAATTTTTAAATTTCTTTATTAAGTTATTACATATGTGTCCATATCCCCCCATTACCCTCCCCTTCCCTCCTACTCATACCCTTACCCCCCCTGGTGTCTGTGTCCATTGGTTAGGCTTATATGTATGCATACAAGTCCTTTGGTTGATCTCTCCCCCTTACCGCCCATCCCTCCACCTTCCCTCTGAAGTTTGACGATCTAATGGATGCTTCATACAAAAGTTTAAGGATTTATTTCTTTTTTTAAAAATTGCACTTGAAAAACTATTGAGATTAAAAGAAAAATCATACTAGCAACCAACATTATAAAAATTAAAACCAAACTGAACCTAAAAAATAAAATTTGGTTCATGAGAAGTTACTATTTTTATTTTTATCAAATTCTATCAAACACTGTCTTTTAAAATGTAAAAATCATTATCATTTACTGGATGTTAACTTGTACCCTGGAGAGAATATCTGCGTATGAGGAAGGATGCAGCCATCTGTGGACCACAACCAATCACAGGAACACTCAAAGACACATACTTCTGCCTCATCTACACATGGCTGCTGCAGACCTCACGCCGCACTGGCGCCTTACCTGACCGATAGCGCTCATCTCTTGACCCTGAGGACCTTCGGCGGTGGTAGCGAGAGGAGGAGGAAGGAGTAACGGGAGCCCGGCGCTCTGGCGGCAAAGCTTGATCCACCCCTGGATTAAGGGAGATAGCAAAGTAAGGTGAGGCTTGCCTTGGCAGCTGGAGCATATTTACTTTGTGGAGCACAGCACTTTGGTAGAGCACAGCCCCACAGCGGAATTAGAGCTCACATGGGAGTGGCCACAGGCCAGGATGTCATGCACGGTGGCCGGGAAAGGGAGAAGCACCCAGGACCGGGCAAGACTCACACAAACACAACAGCTTTTAGAAACAGCACAGGCTCCTGCACATCACAAACGTCTAAAATGTCATGGAGAAAAATGCAAACTAAGCCACAAGTAACATCTGCAATATGTAGGATTTGGATTAAAAAAGAAAATGAAATCCAAAGCACAGAATCAAGTAATGATCTTCTTTATATAATAAACATATAGAAAGTGGTAAGGAAATATTTGAGAAAGTTACATTTATCATTAAAGATAATTTTAAAATAAATCTTATAGGATATCTTAACAATATAATTCAGATAACTAGGATTGAGAATAAGCTTCCATCTTTGTTCATTCCAAATTTCTAAATCTGGAATCTTGTCCCATTTGAAGCTAAACAATTGAACAAATTATATTTCACTACAGCTTTGATGAATTAGCAAAACTGTTAACATGGTTAGATAAAAATGATTCCAAGGGTACTGGTCAAATGCTGACCTAAATCTGACAATCATCATGCCTATCACACTTCAGAACTAGAGTGGTAAAGGCACAATGTAGAAAATGTTAAGTACGGGAAAGATTAATCACTACAGCTCAGAAATGAAGAAATTCCAAGCACTACCCACTAAACATTAATTGCTACTTCTTCAGAAAAGGACCCATAATACTTGAGAGAAAGGAAACCAGAGACAGCAATTTACCAAAACAGAGTTTAGTCCCTGGTTTCCTGTGATGGCTCCAGGGGAGCTATCTGTTCCTGGTATTTAATATTCCTCTTAGGGCGATTTCTGCACCTCACTTTTTTTATGCTCACCTGAGACTTTTTTATTGATTTTATCGAGAAAGAAAGGGAAAGAAGGAGGGAGGGATGGAGGAAAGGAGGACGAGGGAGAGGGAGTGAAAGAAAAAGAGAGAGAGAAACATGACAATGTGAGAGAGAAGCATCAATCAGTTGCCTCTAGTACATACCCAACAAGGATGGCAGCAACCTAGCTACCCTGTTTCCCCGAAAATAAAACAGTGTCTTATATTAATTTTTTCTCCCAAAGTTGCACTAGGTCTTATTTTCAGGGGATGTCTTATCTTTCTATGCGCTAGGTCTTATTTTCGGAGAATGTCTTATTTTCGGGGAAACACGGTATGTGCCTGGCCAGGAATCAAATCCACAACCTTTTGGTATACAGATGATTCTCCAACCAACTGAGCCATCCGGCCAGAACTGCACCTCAATTTTTTACGGCATGGTATGGGTCCTACATAAATAGGTTACTAGAATTGTGAAAAAGATACCTATGCTGTAAACTTTTCATCTAGCAAGCACATTTAACATCATTAATTAACAGTTCTTAATGACTGCATTTACAGCCACCAAAATTTTTCCATTTATCTACAAAGAATCTTTTTTTGAATGATCTTTTAAAAAATTACTTTGTATTTTTATCAAATAGATGTACAGAAATCAAAGAATGGTATTAAGTCTTATGATAAAATGTAATTATTTGAATTTACATTCATACTTATAAATATGGATTTATAATCCTACTCAATTGACCACACTAAACAGTATATGGACTTCTCCCTTACACCACTGTGGTCATCACTATATTCTCCTCTGTCAACGTTTGCAATTTCTTCTTTATTCCCATTACAGGAGCTGTAAGCAATGCTTACTTCCTTTGGTGGCAGCATCACCAGATCTATTCCAAGTAGATTCTTTTATCTGGGCTGTTCCATTTGCTCAAAGATTAGACTTCTGGTCTCCTGTCACAGGAGCACCCATCATCCACAGCTGGAGCCCTTCTCTCCCCCCAGTTTGTGCATTCTCATTGAGCGCCTCTGGGGTCAGTATCGCTTGGTGTCCCTGAATCCAGAGGTTCTTAATCCACTTCTCCAGAGAACTGGAGTGGGGAGGGCATGGATTACCCTCGTTGGATGCCATGCCTCCCCCCACCCTGAGGTTTCATCACCTTCGTCTTCTGTCTGAGCCCCATCTCCCAAGCTTAGGGAGGCACTTTACGAATCACAGAAACGTGTCACTGTTTCTTCCCTTCCCCTGTCTGGTAGCTTTACACTTTACCAGTTTACTGACACCTTAATAAAGTTCTGAGAGAACAGCTAAATGGACAGTTTGGAGTGGTCCAGATTACCCAGTGACCGATTCATACATACACTTAATGTTTCGCTTTCATTTTCAGTACTGTTACCTTTCTAGTTCATCCAAACATGCTTCAGGGAACTACTTTCAACCTTGCCCCCTTCTGGGTCCTTAGGTGGTCGTGAACTTCCTCTGAGATGTGCACAGTCCTAACACTCACACTAGTCCCCGCTATGCAAACTGGTAGGTCAGTGCTTGCCTGTGCATGGACCCTACATGTCTGTCCTCAGAAAGCTAATATCCAACAAACACTGTCAACATTTATTTTCATAGGCTTAAACACAGGCTTAAAAACACAAGTTTTAAGAGCAAATAAATTTGACAAAACAAGAATAGCTTTAACTTGTTTTGGTCACTAGCAACAGGATATTAAAAAACAAAACAAAACTAAAGTATTAGTGTGGATATTTCATTAATTTTTATCTGACTTCATTGTGAATGAAATCTGAGGTGACTAAAAAGGTACATTCTAACAAGAAAAAGTTAGAATGCCCAGCAAGTGTGACTCAGTAGTTGGATATTGACCTATGAACCAGAAGGCCACGGATCGATTCCACATCAGGGAACATGCCCAGGTTGTGGGCTTGATACCCAATATAGGGCCATGCAGGAGGCAGCCAATCAATGATTCTCATCATTGATGTCTCTCTCTCTCCCTCTCCCTTCCTCTCTGAAATCAACAAAAATACATATTTTTTAAAAATACAGCTCTAAAGCAGAATTCAACCTGTCACCACAGGAGGACCCAGGGGCAGTAATGAAGGGGTCCCTCTCATTCCCTATCATAGAATCTCACATTCATACCATATTTGAGAACCACCTCTCAGGAAAGCTGCAGGCTGCCCATTGTCTACAACAGAGACAGATCAAGAGAGGTCCCTGGGAGGGGAGGTGTCCCAAAGGAGGTGGGATAACTGTCCAAAATCATGGAAAGACATGGAGACAAAAATTAGTTCCCCTCAGATGATAACGTGATAAAAATCCCCTGAGCTCTATGTGCCAGGCTCTGACCTAGCTTCAGATCCCACGTGGACTGAGGGGAAAGGCACCAGTGACAACATCATGCTCTGGAGATGGGTGTTCCAGCTGGCTCCTGACACTATCTGTGTCCATGGGCCTCGGTTTACCATCTTCACACAAAACTGAGAAGAACTTCTAACACTTGGCTGCACAAGTCTAAGTACCGTACATTCACAAAACCCTGAACTGTGCCCAGTGGGAATGGATGGGCATGAGGTCCATGGAGCAGCGTCCCCATGCAGGCTCTCTCTTCCTCACATTTCACTCAGGCATGTGAGACTCCTGTCACTGTGAGAAGGACCTCACAGCAAATGCCTGACTCCACCAATCACTCACCAAAGCCTCCATTCCTCCTGCAAGGACACTCATATCTGTCAGCAAGCAGCTCAGAGGGGAACAACAGGAGCCGCAGTGGGGTGATCAGACCTTGAGGCCAATTGTAACATTAAGCTTTCTCTTCAATATGTGTGCATGATTTTCAAACAATGCCTTTTATTCAGAGGTAAAACCCCGAAGACAAGCCTAAAACTTACAAATGCTTATCTTCTTACTCTACTAAAAGTTGCATTGAACTCACCTTTTTGGGCTTCTCGTATTCAAACTATCAACTACTAACACAGTTTTGACATCTGAGGATCATTACCTCGAAGAATACATTCTGTCAGTAATCGGTTTCATTTGTCTATCAAACCCCGTACACTGCCCTTCGGGCATAGGAGTGTGAAGGCCTGTAGCTCTCACTCCCCTCAGCAGGTCTCAGGGCCAGGACCATTAGTTCTCCCTCTGCTGAGGTGTATGGCTAGGAGACGAAGGTCAGCAGCAGACCAATAATTTTAAGACGACTTCTAGAATTTGTCATACAGTCTTCTTTCTCAAGTATTTTGTAAGCAGTGTCCCAACTGTAAAAATAGTGTTGCTGAAACAGCATGTTCTATTCTAATTGGCCCTGGGTCAGTGGAACAGTCGTAGTCCCAGGTTCTGTGACTTTACAACCAAGGGTACTATGGCCCCCTGAAAACTTGTGTGACCTCGTCTGGAGAATGAGAGCTCACACACAGGACTCCCAATGCTAGGATTCCCCCAACACTAGGCCTTGCACTTCTGTTTAGAATGGTGCTGAGTGATAGTCCCTTTCAAATGTGGGGTCTCCCTCTCTCTCTCTCAGAAAAGTGCGCTCACCGAAACGAAAGTAAAACAGAGGCCGGTTTCCTGCGGTGCTGGCCACCCGCTCCCTGCCAGCGGCTTCTCTGATGTCACACACCCCGATGTGGCCGGAGTGTGGCGTTCTCCTCGGGGCGCCTTCACTGTGCTGTAGTCTACACCGGGCCACCGCAGCTCCGTTCGCTGCTGTAACAAGTCGAAAAAAAACTAATTAATTCAAACTTTAGTTTTTTTTAAATTTGTTACAGCGCTGAGCAGAGCTGCTGACCCCATGCAGAAGAGCACAAAGAACACCAACGGGACCACGCAACATGGGTGCCACCCTGAGCGCCCAGCCCACATAGCCAGCCAAGCTCTTGGCACGGGGGCTGGAGAACCATCGTCTGGGCACTGCTTCTGTTTCACTCTTGTTTGGTAAGGCACAGAAATAAGAACCCAATGTTAAGAGCCTAGAGTCAGCCAACTAGCCTTCCTCCAAGATGTGGAGGGGCCACTTGCTGAAAGGGACTCACCATCAAGGCCACGAAGATGGCTATCACCATGCAGTACTGCTAGAAGAGGAGAGAAGGGGAAAGGGGGAGACCACCAGCTTCTTGTCTGCCCACACCTACTCCTAAAGCCTTTCACATGTGGGCATCAGCCAACCAAAGAACTGGTTTTTCACTTACTCATTCAGGCTATACAACAGGTCCATCTTTATATTAACTCTCTTAAGAATCAAGGAAAGAAAGCAAGCACACAAAATCAAAACAAAGTTACAAACACAGCAGAAGCTCAACACACAAATTAAGCTTCCTGGAATGCAACACTGTTAACCATGCTAACAGGCCATGCCTGGGTGTGTCACAGCCTGGAGATCAGGAGGGCACAGCGATCTGTGAGTTATGTGCCCCGGCAGACTTAACCCTTTTCTAGCAGAATCATCAGGGAAGCTTTAAAAATTGTTTTAATAGTGAAAACTGTGGAGTTCAGGCACCACCTTCAAAATTTATATTGCTTTCATTTCTCCTTTAGTACAGCATTAACTGCATCCGTTTTAAGCCATTCCCAAAGCCTAGCCATCTCAAGGTCACCCTCAAACCAAACTGAGCTTCACTAGAACTGAGCTGTGGGAACTCCAGCCTGGCATCATTTTCTGTTTCTTGAAATGGACAGAACCTAGCTCAAGTGCAAAGAGATTCTATAAATATGGACATGGAGTGAAACAGACTTTGTGCTTTGGGGAAGAATCCATAATGTTTTACAATCACATTTCTAAGCAAAACAAACCTTCATGATTTCATAATCCCAGGCAGGATATTATATCATTTTCTAGGTTTCTAGATTTGGCCTGACTCCCAACTACTTCAACAAAACCTTTGATTAATTAAACTATAACCAATAGCAATCATTTTTAACTTCCCAAACTAAAAATCATGTTTAAATCATAACTTATCTTATCATTTTAAAGTAATCAACCATAGAACTTCTCTCTATAGATGAAATACTTACTAAACATATTAAGCACACTTATAGAATATCATGTGCATATCCTATATTCACAAAGTATACATGCAATAGTCATACAAAGGACTTAGATGTGACTAGTGCCATGTCAGGAGCGCAGTCTTCATGCAAAACAGGGACTAAGAAAGGATTTGTGCTATTCTCTCTTGCATGTTGTAGTTAACTCTCTAAACTAGATGACATATCATCAAAGTGTACGTACTCGGAGGCTGGGGCAGGTAGGCGCCAATTAATTTCGACCTCTTCTTTTCATATCCTTTCTGTGTGATGTCACCTATAAGAGAAGGAAAGAAAGATTCAGAATGGTCCCCATAAGTAGGGCTGGTCCCGCAAAAGTGTCCAAGAAGACAAAGTCACAACTGCGTTTTCTGTTTGCCTTATAATTATAACTTAAAAAGAAAGCACCTTAGTTATTCTCCTTGCCCTCAAACAAAAATGCTTGCCCAGGCCCTACTCTCAAGGTTTCGGCTCTGACGGGGCCCAGAAGTAGATTCTCCACACCGTATTCACATTGCCGGAGCAGGAACCTCCCCAGTCCCATGGCTCTCATTAACCTGGTCAACCTGGCTTGTGCAGGCCCATGCCAGTGACAGCTGCCTAAAACCATTACTGATTAGCACCTTCCTCCATTAGTGAGGTTTTTTCCTAATCAAACATGTCAGTTCCAAGGACTTGAAACTGCTAGGGTATTTTTGAAAGTAAGTGACTTAGACCAAATGGAACATTAAGTTAAAACAAAAAAACAAAAAACGGAACCTATGGAAATCAAAATATGAGAGAAAGGTGCTTATTGGCTTATTGGTAAAATAAGAATTAAAATGCTAAAGCCAGAGTTTCCCATGCAGAAGAGCAGGTGCCATCATCACCACACTGACATTCTTCCTCAGTGCTGAGCACATGGGACAAAACAACCTTTATGTCTCTCAGCAGCCTTTCCAAATATTAGTGTAAAGCACACAAAACACTGATGTTCCCCTTGAACATTTTAGAATCTGCTAATTTTCCCCTAACAGCCTTTTCAAACCATCATTCCCAAAAGAACAAAAAACCTGCGTTTTAATAAAAATAGAGCAAGCAAATAAAGTTATTATGGCTCAGCCATAAATTGGTATGCTCACTAAACTTGATCAGACCATAAAGCACCCTCAGTGCTTAATGTCTGATAGGTAACTCACAGCCCATTGTAGAGTCTTATCCACTCCACAAAAACATTTGGCTCCTTTTTAAACACAAACCATAAAAAACAGAGATACAGAAAGCGCATCCTGCTCTCAGATGATGCGCACCTCAGTGGCCGTCAGTGGGCTGATCGGGCTAAAGTGAAACAGGGCCCCCATCACGAGTCTACCATACTCTGCACCTGACCCCTTTGCCAATCAGCGCGTGGAATGTTCAGTTCTTTTGGAAAGACCCCATCAAACCTATTTGTTTAAAATGTCCAAAATATCAACACCCAAATACCCACAGGAATGTGTACACTGTACTAGCTTTTCAAATAAGACAAGGCAGTCAGTGAACACGTGGAGACGCTGGCTGAGGAATGGCTCTCACATCTTGCTCCCCACCCCCACCACAGGCTTCTCACTAGCCTAGCGACTTTCAACCAGTGTGCCACACGAATTTTTAAAACATGCCAATACCTGGCTAGTTGGTCAGGGATACTGGCCTGTTTTCCCTTAGATTGTCAAATAAAAAAAGGACAACATCCAACACAATAGCTGTACAGTGTGAATGAATCTAAATTATGTCTTTTTGTCAGAGCAGGAAAAAAATATATTTTTTCAGTGTGCCGCAGAATTGTAGTAATTAGTTTGTGTCATGAGATGAAAAAGGTTGAAAATCGCTGTTTTAGCTGATTGCTCATCGTGTAGCATCGCTAGTAAGAGGCAAACACCTGGCTTTGAGAAAACCTGATAAAATAACCCGCAGAAGGAGGAACTTTCTGCTCTAGAACAACCTCCCACGTCCGGGGGTCTGTCCTCTCAGCCCCCAGGGGCTCCTGGAAAGTCAGCTGCCCCATCTCCCCAGTAGATTCACTGTCCTTCACCACCATGTTCTTCCCTGACCAGTCTTTGGAAATAATAAAACTATCAGGAAGCTAGATTCTATGTGAATTGTACTCCTAATTAACTAACTTTGGCTCATGCTCAGCATTTTACAAATTAAAAACCAGTGTGCTCCCTGCATCTGAGGGACACCTGGACAAAACCAACCAGGGACCAGGAAAAGGAACATGTGAGTGAGACATCAACTAGTACATACTAGCCTCCTAAGAGACTCTCTGCACACTAGGGAGAAACCTACTATTTACCCATTCCCAGCCAATCCCACTGGTCATTCAGGATTTGTCATCACATAGCATCTGCGCACAATTCCACCAGCAAATCTGAGCCCTGGCAAACTAGCCCCATTTCAATTCATTCTACGCCCAAAACTCAGCTCAAATTTTAAAAATCTCTCAGATGAAAATTGAAGCATGAGGGGGTTCCCCCTTAATTTTCAGAGTATGCCAACTTCACAGGAAACACACTTTGAACTTTTTTACTTTGGAAAACTCCAATTGTTAAAACCTTTAGCATATAGGGAAATAAATGCTTTCCCCAAGAAACCATGATCCCTTTCAAAGGGGAAGATGTCAGTGTGGCCCCGTTCTATAATACAATACATGTCCCATTCCTAAATAATCTCTTTTCATTCGCACAACAACTGATTTAACAGGTGAGAAACTGAGGCACAAATAGCACTTATATTTCTCACTCAGGGGCCTAGATCTAAAAAAGAAAACAAAGCTTGTCCAAATCCAAAACTGTCCCCATTGAAACCACACTTAGAATCTGCCACTCCAGACAACACAATGTGGTCAGCCTTGTCCTGCCCAGCTCCAGCCGCCCGGGACGTCCTGCTCTCAGGGACAACCTTACACCCACTGTCTGCTGTCACCCCTCCCATCTGGCTTGGCCCAGCAACACCCCAGCGTCTAGGCTCCAGTGGCACAGAATTCTGCACAAGACCCAGTGCTGCTTTCCCCAGGAGGCCTCAATGGCTGCCGATGGCTTATTTTTGTAACATGCATAGTTCATCCTTAAAACCACGTTGTGCTGAGGAGAATCCAAGATGGCTGCACAGGTAAACAGCCGCAGCCGCACACAATTTCAATAAAATACAACTAAAATATAAAATGGACATTACCCAGAACTAAAGGAAAGTCTACTGACTGGAAATTCAACAACGAGAAGCAAGGAGAAAACCAGAAGGAAGAGTGGAGGAGCTGTAAAAGCCCAAGGTACGGAGACACACAGGGCACACGGAGAGGACAGAGCCGGAGAGGAGGGAGGCTGAGTGCCTGGCTGGCGTTCCCTAGGGGAAAGGAGATAAAAGCTCCGACTGTGCTGAACCCCAGACCCGACAGCGCTGAACCCCAGTTCTAGGCCAGACCCTGGGGACCCAGGCTCAAACAGAGGGCTGTGCGGCGAAACCCCAGGTGAGCGGCGAAAGGCAGAGCCCCTGGAGGCGCGCACATTGTGCGCAGAGGACGGACGGTTGGCTGTGCCGCAGGATTGCACTGGCGGGAAGGAGACAAAGGCTCCGGACTGTGCTGGGCCCCAGTTCCAACTCCACTTCCAACTGAACTGAACCCCAGTTCCGGGCTCATTGGGGGAGAGACTGTTTGGTAGCAGGCGAAAATCAAGGGCACCTTTCTCTCAGAGGTGCTTGCAACGAGTACTGAAGGACCCTGGGGAATACTGAGACTCAGGAGCCGCATAGGGCGGGGCTGACGGAAGCCAAGGCTATAGGCTCCACCCTGAAACCCTGCCCCATCAGGGAAGCTGTGAAAATGCTGAGACAAGGAAAAAGATCACAAACGAAAGAAAGGGAGGACAAAAAGCAACTGGATATAGTTAAAATCTACGCTTATAAGGTTTTTCAAGAATTTCCTAGAAAAGGTCAATAAGACCTATGAGGATATGAAAAGAGATCAACTAGAATTAATAAGGAATCAACAAGAAATGATAAGGGATCAACAAGAAATAAAGAATACATTGTCTGAAATAAAAAATATTATACAGAGTCCTAAAAACAGAATGGAAGATCGCAAGAATCAAGTCAAAGATTTGGAACATAAAAAGCCAGAAGACACTCCTCCACAGAAGCTAGAAGGCAAGAGAATCCAGAAAATTGAAGATAATGTAAGAAACCTCTGGGACAACTTCAAGCGAACCAACATCAGAATTATGGGGGTCCCAGAAGATCAGAGAGAGCAAGATATCGAAAAGAGGACCACACCAAGACAAATCATAGTTAAAATTCCAAGAGCAAAAGACAAAGAGAGAATATTAAAAGCAGCAAGAGAAAAGCAGGTAGTTACCTATAAAGGAGCACCTATACAATTGTCAGCTGATTTCTCAACAGAAACCATGCAGGCCAGACGGGAATGGCAAGAAATATTCAAGGTGATGAATAGTAAGAATCTACAGCCAAAAATAATCTACCCAGCAAAGCTATCACTCAGAATCGAAGGTCAGATAAAGAGCTTCACTAATTAAAAAAAGCTAAAGGAGTTCATCACCACCAAACCAGAATTATATGAATTGCTGAAGGGAGCTCTTTAAGAAGAGAAAGTAAATAAAGATAAAAATTATGAACAACAAATACGTAACTATCAACAAGTGAATCTAAAAACCAAGGAAATTAAAAAAAAATCTGATGAACAATATTAACTGTTGAATATAATAGAATCAGAGGTATGGAAGGGGAGTGAACTGACGATTCCTGGGGAAAATGGGAGTGGGGGATGTGGGAAGAGACTGAACATAAACTGTGCACCTATGGATGAGGACAATGGGGGGTGAGGAAAGGGCAGAGGGTGGGGTGGGAACCTGGTGGAGGAGAGCAATAGAGGGGAGAGGAACATTTGTAATAATATGAACAATAAAAATTTATAAAAAAACAAAAACAAAAAAATACACGTTGTGCTTCCTTCACAGGTCAGTGTCCTCCAGACCAAACCCTGCTGTTTCACACACTAGGACCACATGATGATCGTGCAGTCACACAATGAGTATCAGACACAAGTGTCACAGAGTGACTTCCAAGTAAATAACTGGACAGAAGCTGCATTCAAAATCACGGCAAACACAGGGTGATTGTCTCACTGCTTAATGATCACCTGTGAAAGGGCAGAAGGGGAAATGGGTAACAATTATATTATCTATATATATAAAATCCTAAGCAACCGTCCAACCGTTCGACTGGTAGCTATGATGCACAATGACC